TCTTGGTGGCAAGATGTGATGAGCACATCGTAGCCCCAGTTGGTGGCCTCTGAGCTTAGGGCTGAGAGTGTACCAGACAGATGGTCACTGCTATGTGTGGCAGAGGAAGAAGAATTGGGTGGACTCTTGGGCACCTGGCCACTTCCCTGCAGAGATAGCATTTGGCCAGGCTTTGGACGGCAGGATCTGAGCAGCAGGGCCTTCCAAATGGAGAAGAAGCAGGGGAGGGGACTTGGAAGTCAGAGATTCTGAGTTCAGATTCCTGCCCCCATGTCTCCATTTGCCTTGTGACCTGGGACAAAGTAACTTGCTCCTGCAAGGCTTGGATCTTTTCCAATAGAAGCAATGTGGAGCTTACCTCTCAGGGCCACCTGGAAGAGGAAATGTGATATGTATAAATTAAGGTATCCAACTGGGATGGGGATGTGGCTCAAGGGGTAGCGCACTTGCCTGGCATGCGTGCGGCCCGGGTTCGATCCTCAGCACCACATACAAACAAAGATGTTGTGTCCGCCGATAACTAAAAAATAAATATTAAAAAAAAAAAGTATCCAACAATGTTTCTAGAATAATATTGGTGTCTAATGCTTGCTTATTTTGTTTATTTCAGGCAGAGGGGAATTTGGGTTTTAGCAGTGAGGGTGTAAACAGCTGGTGCAGAGCATGTACTCCCTGGATCTCTTCAGCACCTGGGTGCACCTGGTATCTTCAGGCACACAGGGTTCCCACTCTCCTTCCCTCTCTTCCTGGGCATGGACTGGGCACCCCAGGCCCTCTCCTCTGGTCATCTCCGGAGCTGGACCCCTTTGAAGTGCCTGCCCTGCTATTTTGAGAACTGAATGTCTCCCCCCTCCCCTCCTCTCTTCCTGTTTATGAAACCCTGATCCCTCCGGATCCCTCATGCGCCCCTGGCCAGAGCTTAGGCAGGATGTGACTGTGGACTTTGGGGAGCCTTGGGCACCCTCAGGTGTTGGGAGGAACTTCCCTTGGACCAGCCACAGCAGGTCAGCCCACCCGCTCAGCACTGGGACCAGTGCCTGGATTCTGCCCCTTCTTCTTGCCCAGCGGAGATTCTGCGGCAGTCAGATCAACTAAACCAGGGAGAACTTCTGTTTAAAATGTCTCTTTGTCTCCACGGCTCATTTTGCTTCTACAAACAACCTTCTAGAAATAACCTTCTGAGCATGGAATGTGTAATTTGAAACTTCATTTTACAGAGGAGGAAACCGAGGTTCAGACAGGGAAAGAAAGAGATTTGCCTGGGAGCACCTAGCTAGTGAGGAGCCAGTTCCTTCTCTACCAGGGCTGTCTCCCCTCCACACCCTGCTTTCTGCCTGGTCAACAATCTTTCTCTGTACCCAACTACACTGTCCTGTCTCTAGAAGATCTACCCAGACCCCGCCCTTGGCTCTGGGCGTCCACAGCACCTTGACTGCAGCTCTGGGGCAGGGTAATTGTGTTTTGTTATCTTATTTCTTTTCTGAGCTGCCAGAGGTCAAGGCCTGGGTTGCCTTAGCATCTGCTGCCTTCTAGTGTCTGGTTCCTGCCTGAACAGAGCAGGGGCCAGGAACTATCAGGGACCTCCACAGTTGGGTAGGCAGTTTGGCCTTACAAGAGGGGCTGTGGTGAGAGGTTAAGAGCGCAGGCTTTGGAAGCAGTCAGGCTTTGGTTTCACTCTTACTTCTTGGCCTTGCTAGCCATGTGACCTTGAGCAAGTCACTTTCTCTCCTAGTCTAGTTTTCTCATCTCTAAAATGGGGATGATGATATCTCCCTTTGGAACTGAGACATGGGCTCTTAACCCCAGTGCCAAGCATACGTTTGGTGGAATTCACATCAGCAAAAGTTGAAAGATAGAATGGGCAGGGGACCTGAATGCTCAGGGACAGGAGTCTCAGTTCTCATTATCATTGACCCCAAGTCCGGTGCCTGGGAACTGGGGGCCCTCTCACCTGTCCAGAGGCATGCTGTTAGACAGAGCTGGAGACATCTGCCCCACTAGAAAGGGGAGCACCTGGGAGGCCCTGCAGATCCCTGCCAGCGGAGGAAGAACTGCTGGTGTCTGTTAGGGCGGGGATTATCAGGTGGGCTTGACCATAGTAGAGGGAGGCCAAGCATGAAGACCTTACGGACTGGGGATCTGCCTGTGCGCTCTCCCCTTCTCTCCCAGCTGCCCTGTGGGAGGAAGTAAATAAAGAGGAAGTGTGTACAGCGGAGACAAGGCAGAAACCCAGGGGTATGGGCTGGTGGCTGGCCCTTCCTCCGCCACCAGCGGCCTTAGGCCCCCCACACCCTTCAGCAGAGGCAGTGCCGAGACTGTTTCCTTCCTCTTGCCCCTTCTGGTACCCCATAGCCACAGAAGTGCTTTCCCTGCTTCTGAGGGTTGAAGGGAGTTGGGGGCCCTGAATTGGCACTGGCATTAGACCAGGGGACTCTGGGTGTCCAGGCTGCCCTGCCTGAGGAAGCAACAGGGCCTCTAAGGGAAGATCTTTCACAAGCCTGTAGGCCATCACCGCAGACTGTTTGTTATCAGAGGCCCAGCGAGCCTGGGGAAGGGGAAGTCCGCCCGAGGGCGGGGGAGCGTGTTTCTCTGCAGGGGATGGCTGTGGAGAGGGTTTCCGATCATCACTGAGTGTATCTGTCAGTTCCTGTGGGTGTACTGGTGTGAGGATGAGGTGAAGCCACATGGGAAGGGGCTGGGCCCACTCCACCTCCAGCCTCGGAGGCCCACTCCTCCTCGTAGCCCTCTGTGAGGTCCTGGCTGGAGTCTTCTTGCCCATCCCAGGGCCTAGGACTGGCAGGCGTCTTCAGGGCACCTGATGGGGCAGGGCCAGGCATGGTGGCATCTGTTCTGTGGGCTGCTGTTCTGGGTGGCCACAGCTGGGGCAAGCCAGTGCCTACACTGTCTGCTGGGCAGTCGGGCTCCAGCCTTTCCAACTGCTGTCCAACGTGCTCTTGGGGGCCTCCAGGTGCATGTTTGTGGGTACTGGGAGCCCACTGTGTCACCACCTCATTGCCTTGTGACTTCTGTCTGTGACCCTGTCGCCCTCATTAGGGTCAGAGGAGACAGGGAGGGACATACCCTTGGGCTGTCCCTGGGTTATAAGCTTGGGGTCTGCAGTATCCTCTCCTCAGCAGAGGCTCCTGACCTAACTGCTGTCCCTCCTCCTTACCAAGGGGGAAGTGAGAAGGAGGGGGGCCAGGGACCCTGCCTTCTGGGCCAAGAACACTAAAAAAAAAGCAGAAGTAAGAGGAGTAGCGGGGCCCTCTGGCCACTGCTGGAGCCCCACCATGCAGACCCCAGCAGATTTCCCCAGGGTTGAGAGAGACCTGGTCTCCTGTCCCAGGAAGGTGAGCAGAAGGGTGGCCTGCCTCCAGTAGTATCTGTCACCATGTCTTTGAGCAAGGAGTAAGTTTGGGGATGGCTCTGTCCCTTGGGGTTTCCGGGTGGCTGCCTCTGTCCCCAGGGAGTGTTCTCTGTCGGAGACAGCCTGGCAAGGTAGAGGCGCAGGTCTCAGGGTGGGTGGCCAGGGATTGCTGTGTGGTCTTGGCCCATCTCAGCCCCTCCCTGAGCTAGGCTTTCTGCCTGTCCCAGCAGAAGGTTATGCTCAGGGGCCTGATTAGCATGCGGCTTCTTTTTGTGGAGGTGGGGGGTGGAGGGGTTGTTACACCAACTCCTTTGTCCATCAGGTACAGTCTGCCAAAGATAGGGTTGAGTCTGAGGGTCAAGACCTGGAGCGGGAAGTCTCAGACTGGCCCTAGGTCTGAAGGTGAGAGTGGGCAGGGAGCAGCTCTGACCGACTTACCTGCCCGCCCTTTGCTGGTACTGGGGGCTGTGGACCCCAGGCCAGGCAGGAGCCAGAGGAGGGTTGGGTCCATGCTGGCTCTGCCACTGCTTTGCTCTGAACCTGGGAGTTACTCTCCTCTGGGCCTGAACTTCATATTCCTGAAAAAGGGGTATTTGGGATCTTTGGATGGGAGTCAAAGCTATCAGATTCTACTCAGGAGATGGCCCTCTTGGCCACTACCTTAGTCATGGGTCTCTCTCAGGCCCTGGAATATGAGGAAAAAAACTAGGGTGGACTGGTTTGTGGACTTGATGGCAGAGCGCTTGCCTAGCATGTGTGAGGCACCACATATGAATAAATAAAATAAAGGTCCATCAACAACTAAAAAAAAAACCTAGGGAAATGGAATACCTCAGAGATTGTCTGACACAGATGCTGGGCTGCTCTCCTGAGTGCTGGGCCCTGTAGGTTGTATCCTCTCATCCCTTTCCCCACCCCCAGGCACACCATCAAGAACCCACAGCTCTGCCCTTAATCTTTTGGGGATCCTGCCTTGTGCCTGCCTGAGTCTGCCCTGGGTATCTGTCAGTCTGTGTGGGCCTCGTGATGGATGCTTCTCTGCTGTGCAACCTGTCTGTGTGTGTGAGTTCCTGTCTCTGTTCTCTGTGTGATAAGTACCTCTTCAGTTGGGTACATGCCACATGTTGGGTGCCTATTGGGTTTGTGTTCCCTTCTGTCTTTTGGGTCTGTGTCCCCTTTTGCCTCTGCATGTTGGATGCTAGTCTCTCCACCTCTGTTAGATATGAGTTCCTCTTGCCTCTGCCTGATAGGTACATGACTCCCTCCTGTCTCTGCCTGTTGGGTGTGTGTCCTCAACACATCCCTGCCTGCTGAGCCTGTGCGCCTTCCTGCCCCTGCCTGTTGGATGCCAGTCTTTATCTGTCTCCACCTGTTGGGTGTCTCTTTATCTGCCTGTACACGTTAGGTGTCTGACTGTGCCTGTTGGGTACCTTTTGCTTCAGCAGCTGTGTTGGCATGGGGCTTTCCCTTTGTGGGCATTCAGGGAATATCAAGGAGGGCCAGAGGGCAGCCCTCAGGCACTGGGGAGAGGGGAAGAGAGGGAACATGGGGAGGGTGGAGGCCCTGGGCTGGGAAACCACAGGCCCTGAATGATTGGCTGCCCTGGGCCGGCTCAGCCCCTGCGCCCTCATCCTGCACATCCGCCTTGGGGCCGACCACCTCTGCAGCAGCCCCGGAGGCTGCTTGTCCCTGCCATGGTGCTGTGGCCCTGCTGGGCGGATGGAGCAGGATCCCAAGCCGCCCCGATTGCGGCTCTGGGCCCTGCTCCCTTGGCTGCCCAGGAAGCAGCGGCCCAGGATCGGCCAGACCTCTCTGCCTGCCCATGGCCCTGGCTCTGGTCCCCAGCGGGACTTGGTAAGTGTGTCCGGATATCTAGTCCTGGCCTGGTTGTGGCCCTTGGAACAGGTGCCCAGGCAGCTGGTTTGGCTTAAGCTGCTTTGGGCTCCTCTGGCCCAGGTCCGTCCCTTCTGGGGGACCAGCCCTGCCTAGACTTGCTTATTGGGGAATTGTTGAGGCTTTTTGGAGCTTCAGGGCAAGACCAGCTGATAGAACAGTAGGACCTGATGAGGGGTTCCTAGAGGTTTGTCGGGGGGATGTTCGGGTAAGTAAGGCATAGATTCTCTGGCCTAACTCCCACCTGCCCCACACAGGCATTTACTGGGTTGAGGGGGATATCTGGATGACTCTGGGTCTCCGTGTGTCTTAGCCCTGTCCATTCAGCCAGAGGATCCCCTCATCTCAGGAACAGAGGCCCAGCTCTGCCTCCCCATTATGAGAACAAACCCCACTTCCTATTGTGGCAAAACCAAAACAGCAGGGGGAGGGGAGCCCCACAGGGCGGACTGGGGCAGGTCCTTCGCCTCAGCCTGAGTCGGGTTGGCTTGGTCTGGCCTGGCTGGGCCTGGCCTGGCCAGCCTGGCTGGGCCTGGGCACCTTTTTGAGCCTAAGCAGGCCAGAACATCAGGAGTGATAGGAGCAGTGACTCTCCTGGGCTTGCACCACCTGGTGGTTTGACCTGCCCAGCCTTAAACCCTGTTATATTGATGATCCTGAGGCTCCCTGACCAGGGGTGGCCTATTGGATTTGATGAATTCTGGGGGAAATGACTTGGCTGGGGATATACCCTGTGCTACTGCTGGTCTACCCACTCTCTCCCTCCATCAGGATGAGGGCATCCTCAAGGAGATCTCCATCACACACCACGTTAAGGCTGGCTCCGAGAAGGCCGACCCATCCCATTTTGAGCTCCTCAAGGTTCTGGGCCAGGGATCTTTTGGCAAAGTGAGTCATGAGCCCATGTCTGGGAGGGCAGCATTGGTTACGTCAGAGGTGGGGGTCAGGGTCACCTTGGGGTCCAGAGGCTCTGAGGGCAAGTGTGAAAGGTCACCTGGGTACCCAGGAAAAGGTCAGTGTGGGACCCAGAGAAGCAAGAGGACAGCATAGGACAGAGCTGGTGGCTTCAGCCCCCTTCCAGCTTCTCCCTGGCTTTTCCTCCTCTGCCCTCTCAGGTCTTCCTAGTGCGCAAGGTCACCCGGCCAGACAGTGGGCACCTGTATGCCATGAAGGTGCTAAAGAAGGCAACATTGAAAGGTAAGAGGGTCTCATGGGGCTTGGGTGGGATGAGGGAGGCAGCTCCATCTTCAGGAGCACCCAGCACGAAGGTGGAGAAACAGGCCTACTCTCAGCCGCCCCTGCCCTCAGGCCCCCCTCCCAAGCCAAGTGAAGGTGGCTGGCTGAAGGCTCATGTCTAGAGTGGTATTTGGTTGAATGCAGCCTGCTTGTGGCAGGGTGAGGGGCATATCCCCCAGAATTCATCAGTATCAAGTTGCTCAGGCACAGGTGCTTGGGTAGCAGAGGTGCTTCGTGATGTTGGAAGAGTCTCTGGCTCTCAGCTCAGGGTGGAGAAGGGCCTAAGAGAAGAGGTGGGGAGACCGGGGACAACTGGGCCCATAAGAGGGTGAATCAAGGAAGCCATGGAGGTAGGTGGCAGAAAGGTGTGGAAGGGAGCCCCAAGCCAAAGTCTAGAATTCCAAGGTTTCAAGTGGTTTGAGGACAGCTGGAAGAGGATGCGGGGCGGCTGTCACTAACTGGTGTGGCAGCCAGTGTGGCGACTGCAGGGTGGAGTCCAAGCCTAGCCCTGGCTGGGGGTGTGGTGGGGAGAATAGGAGTGACAGCTTAAGGTTGTTATCGGCCGTGTGGCTCATGAAGGGCTGCCTGTGGGGTGAAGGCAGTTTTGGGGGAGACTCCTCATGCTCCCGCAGTACAGGGCTGTGACCTGTGTGTGGCGATGGTCAAAGCTGGAGCCTGAAAGGGGGGCAGGTTGAGGGCTGGGGGGACACCTAAGTAGTAGCTATGTGAGATGTGCCTGGCGGGATGAGTTAGGAGTTTTCCAGACCCCGGTGACTGAGGATGGGCACTCCAAGAAGGAGGGACCGTTTACCTGAGGTGGTTTGGAAATATAAGGTGTGTTTGGGAAACTGTGGCTGCAATAGTTAACCTCAGAGGCACGGACCCTGCTGTGTCAAAGTGAGGGCACTAAAAGAGTTGAAGCAGAATAAAGGCCTGTGCGTGGCTTATGCCCATAATCCCAGCAGCTCAGGAGGCTGAGGCAAGAGGATCACAAGTTCAAAGCCAGCCTCAGCAACTAAGCAAGGACCAGTCTCAAAATATTTTAAAAAGGGTTAGGGAGATGGTTCAGTGGTTAAGTGCTCCTTGATACAATCCCTGGTCCTGAAAACAAAGGAAAAGAAAAGCATGTGGCTAGGGGCAGTGGTACGCGTCTTAATCCCAGCAACTCAGGTTCAAGTCAGGTTCAAGGCCAGCCTCAGCAAATTTAACAAGGCCCTCAGCAACTTAAGGACACCCTATCTCAAAAATGTAAAAAATAAATAAAAAGATCTGGAGATGTGACTTCTAGGACCAAAAAAAAAAAAATAAAATAAAATAAAGAAAGAAAGAAAAAGGAAAAAAATGTGGAGAAGCCCCACTCAGAGCAATCAATCAGGATTTTTCAGGATTTTAGACCCAGAAAATCTACCCCTCTAGCTAGCTCCCTAGGTTACCAAATCTCAACACCCCAGACTAGAATTTGGGAATTTTGATGGCAGATGGAGAGGGGCCTGGTAAAGGAGTGTTGCGGGGAGGTACAGAGGCAAAGTCTGGAGACCTCAAAAAATAGGACAGACAGGGACACCAGTTGCTCTGTGGCCCTCAACGGAGCATGGTGGGAGATAGGCCAGAGAACTGGTGGGGTACCACGGCCTAGCCCTGGGCATTGCCATGAGGAACGGGGGCAGAGAGCCAGCCGAGGAGCAGAGCAGCCTGGGAAGGAAGAAGGAAATCAAGATCGAGTGTCCCCAGAGCCCTAGGTGAGGGACCGTGGGAGCTCAGGCCTGGAGGAACAAGTGGAAAAGAGCCCTTAGTTGGAACCGAGAGAGTGGCTCGGTGTGTAGACTCTTAGTGACTCCTTTCTCCTCTGGCCAGTGCGTGACCGTGTTCGGACCAAGATGGAGAGAGACATCCTGGCTGATGTAAACCACCCATTTGTGGTGAAACTGCACTATGGTGAGACCGCACACCCTGCCTGATCTCCTACCCAGCACTGGTCCATGCCTATGGTCTGCTGCATTTTCCTGTACCTTGTCCCACCTCCCTCCTGGCAGACCACGGGAGCCAGGGCCCAAGGGGCAGGTCACAAGGCCCAGCTGACCACCATGGCCTTTCCCCTCTTCCCAGCCTTCCAGACCGAGGGCAAGCTCTATCTCATTCTGGACTTCCTGCGTGGTGGGGACCTCTTCACACGGCTCTCAAAAGAGGTGAGCTTAATGTTTTGAACAACCCACAATAAAAAATTAAAAAAAAAAAAAAAAAAAGAGGTGAGCTGATGTCCCACTGACAGCCCCAGGATAGATCCGGGGGCATGACCAGGCCTCCCGTCTCAGGGTCTTGTGAAAAACACATCCAACGTGGCCCTGGGCCTGGAACTTCGCAGGCCTACCCAGCAGCCCCTAGCAGGAGATGTCACCTGTCCTGGCATAGAGGTCATACTTGGCAAAGCTGCTGAGAGTTTCTCCCAAGATGGGCTGGGGATGAATAGGCCCTGGATTTGATGCCACCCTGTTTTGGAGGGTGAGTGTACCTCTCACCTCTCCAACTCCATTCTTTCAGGGCTGCACTGGCCAAGGCCATGAGCATGGGAGAAGCTCAGTTCCACCCAGAAAGCTAGAAACGTTAGCATTCTTGTCCCACATGTTATCCAAGGGGATTTGGATACAAAATAATCTGAGCCAAATAAAAAATTGGGACCATTAATGCAATTCAGCCTTTAAAGAAAACCGAACTTTTAATTTTAGTTAATTAATTTATTTTTTATTCAAATTTTATTTTATTTTTTGTACTTGAGATTGAACCCACCTGAGCTACATCCCTGCTTTTTATTTTGAGACAGGGCCTCGCTAAGTTGCTGAGGCTGGCTTCCAACGTGTGATCCCTCCTGCTTTAGCCTCCCAAGTGGCTGGGATTACAGGCGTGTGCCACATGCCTAGCTAAACTTCATTTTTAAAATATAATTTTAATGTTTGAGTAGGTAATACATGATTCAAAAGAAAACTATTCATTGAGAAGTCCTCCTCCTAACCTAGTCCCTTTCACCCCTCCATAGATGAACACTTCTGTTGGTTTCCTGTTTAACCTTCCCATGTTCCTTTTACAAACAAGCCAGATACACGATCTGAACCCTCACCTCCCACCTTCTTATGTAAAAAGCGCCATTCTGAGTACACAGTTCTGTACCTGTCCTTTTTCAAGACAGTCTACCTCCGCAATTGCTCCCTATCGGATCACAGAGAAACTCCTGTTCTAGGTGGTGGCTGCACAGGCTCCATTATGCAGGGGACAGGCAGTTTGTTCCAGGCTCCTGGACATGTGGGCTGTTTCCAGCCTTTTGCTGATTCCAAACAATGCTACAATGAGTGACTTGTATATTAGTCATTTCATACTTCAAACCCCTTTAGAGAGAGAAAGGTCTGTGGTGCTGGGTTATGTCCCCAGGGTGGACCCTTGGGACCAGGAAGCTGCTGACCACTCAGCATCCCCATTCCTGAGGAAGAAGCGGTTCCAGCTGCAGCTCCTGCCTGCCTGTTGCAGGTCATGTTCACAGAGGAGGACGTGAAGTTTTACCTGGCCGAGCTGGCTCTGGGCCTGGACCACCTGCACAGCCTGGGCATCATTTACAGAGACCTCAAGCCTGAGAAGTGAGTGAAGTCCCCCCCTGCCCTGCCCTTCAGAAACAGTCTCCAGGCCTCTTCTAGAACAGGGCCACACCAACGGGGTGGGTGTGGTTCTCCCAGGAACTTCCCCGTCTCTGGGGCTATCTGAAGGGGGAAGGGACAGCAGCAGGCTCATGTTAGGGGCTGTCTAATCACCAGTGCTGCTGTGACCAAGGCAGGTACACACACCCCCACCCCACTTTTTTGTTAATCCAGTGTAATTAAGAGCATTCCTTATTGGGGCCATTTTTAGAATTTCCCTTAATACCTAAATACAGTACCTTCCAACGATAACTTGGGATCCAGAGGCAAGTTGTGGTGTAGAATGGGATCTGGCTTTAGCATTAGGCACACCTCAAGCTGGGCATGGTGGCACACAACTATAGTCCCCGCCACTTGGTAGGCAGGAAGGAGGTTCACTTGAGCCCAGGAGTTTGAGGCCAGCCTAGACAACATAGTGAGAGTCCATCTCAAAAACAGCTAGGCACACCTGAATTCAAATCCTATCTCCATCACCTACCAGCTCTGTGACTGTGGGGAGTCACTTAACTTTCCTGAGCCTTAGTTTCCCCATTAGCAAAATGGGACCGTAATAGAACCTGCTGCACACAGTTCTTGCAGGGATTGATGGAGGAGGTCAGCAGCACACCTGCCTGGCGCTGCCACAACCCAGTCCAACACTCATTCATCAGATAGATCTGGGCGAGGCATCTCCTCTGGGCAAGCCAAAGACCCACTGCCTTGTGGTGTCACCAGAACCCACACAGTTCCGGCCTCTGGTAGACCCTGACTCCCATGTCTCTATTGCAGCATTCTTCTGGATGAGGAGGGCCACATCAAACTCACTGGTGAGTGGTGGGCACTGGCCCTCTCAGGCCTCTGGACTTGGGTAGAAAGAATTCCTGATAGGTCCCAGCTGAGGGCCAGGGAGGGAGTGCCAATTATTTGGAAGGGTTCAAACCCCAGGCCCCAAACTAGGAACACCTCAAGATGAAATCATGGGATTAGAGAGGTCACCTAACCTCTGGGCCTTCGCTTTCTCATGAGTGTGACGGGGCGATGCCCTCATGCTTCTGGGCAGGGGAGTTGAGTGTGCAGAGTGTGGCAGGAGGAAGGCAGAGGTCCTAAAGGGTTGTCCTGTGCCCTCCTTGCTGCAGACTTCGGCCTGAGCAAGGAGGCTATTGACCACGAGAAGAAGGCCTACTCCTTCTGTGGGACGGTAGAGTACATGGCCCCCGAGGTCGTCAACCGCCAGGGCCACACTCACAGTGCAGATTGGTGGTCTTACGGAGTGTTGATGGTGAGTACCTAGGCAGAGGTAAAAGATCCAGCCTAGAGCCATGTGTGGTGGCACACACCTATAATCTCAGTGGCTCAGGAGGATCACGAGTTCAAAGCCAGCCTCTGCAATGGTGAGGCACTTAGCAACTCACTGAGACCCTGTCTCTAAAATAAAAAAATACAAAATAAGGCAGGGGGTACAGCTCAGTAGTTGAGTGCCCTTGAGTTCAATCCCCAGTACAAAAAAAAAGATCCAGTCCAGGATGGGTTCAGTTTCCCCCTATACAGTGAGGGGCTTGGTCATCTCCAAGGTTCTCCCCTGTCCTCTCACAGCCAAGCTGGCCTCATCTGACATGCTGCCACGGTTTCCTTTCTTGGGTGGATGGATACCAGGCTGGACCCCCCATGGGGCACCCCTGACCTGGCCCTGGGTCTCTCGGTCTCAGGCCCCTAGCATTGTGGTTCCCAGTGGTCTGGGTTGGCAGAGGGGAAAGGGAAGGGGCAGTCTTTGCTGCAGCTGGGCTCAGAGGTCCATCAGACCAGCAAGAATCCTGGGACGGAGCCAGGTGCAGTTCACACCTGTAATCCCAGCTACTCCTGGCTGAGGCAAGAGACTCACAAGTTAAAGGCCAGCCTGGGAAACTGAGTGAGAACTGGCCTCAAAATTTTAGATACATAAATAAAAAGGGCTGGAGATATAGCTCAGTGGTAGAGGGCTTGTCTGGCATATGCAAGGCTCTGGGTTCGGTCCCCAGCGCAGCAAAAAAAGTATCCTAGGCTAGAGTATGGTGGTCTGGGCAGGAGGAGGCCAGCTGGTGTATGAGATGGGTGGAGCCTAAATGGACCCTTGTCCTCTGCAGTTTGAGATGCTGACGGGCTCCCTGCCCTTCCAGGGAAAGGACCGGAAGGAAACCATGACCCTGATTTTGAAGTAAGCTCCAGCCCTGCCCTGGTACTGGAAGGGCTCCCCAAGTTCCACCCCATTTGGGGGGCCAGAGGATTACCCTGTCCCTACCTCTGAGGCCCTCATGTATGGGACTCTCCTGGGTTAAACATTACACTTTCCACAGCCCCCTTTCTGTGCCCGTGGGGGGGATCCTTGAAGTCTTTGGCAGGTGAGTTAGTGGTTGGCTTGTCTAGACTAAGTTGGGAATGAGACCCGGACAGATAGGGGGAGGGGAGCTGTGGCTTCTGGGGCGAGGCTCAGCCCTGATGAGACCTGGGGGCTGTTTCAGGGCAAAGCTAGGCATGCCCCAGTTTCTGAGCACAGAAGCCCAGAGCCTGCTACGGGCCCTATTCAAGCGGAATCCTGCCAACCGGCTCGGTAAGCAACCCCAGCTCAGGGGAGGGCATGGGGTGGTAGGGAGCAGGGTGCAGCTGCAGCCTAGGCCACAGGGACACATCTGGGGCTGAAAGGGGCCCCTTGTCCTTTGTGTGGGCAGACAATGCCCCTGGCCACCCTGCCTTCTGGCTCCATGTGTGGTGTTGGAGGGGGTGACCTGTGTGTAGGGGGAGGCAGGAACTGAGTCATCCCCACTCCCTCTGAGGACAAGGACAGGGCCCCCACACAGATTCTCCGCCAAGGCTGCTGGCCCAAGAGAAGGCACGTGAGTTCAGGAGCAAGACACTCAGTCCTCATCCCAGCTGCATCTGTCCCCGCTGCTGACACACAGTGGGGCCTCCATAAATATTTGTTGAGTGAATGAGTGCCATTTATGAGTTATGTGACCCGGACAGGTGCTTCACCTCTCTGAGCCCCAGATTCCTTGTCTTAGTGGGGATGGTGGTCCCAGGCCAGCTAGCAGGGCCCTGTGGATGAAAAACGTCTGTGCCTGGTGGGGAGTGAGTGTTCAGTGTATTTAGGGTTCCTCACTCCTGAGATCACCTGGAACATGACCCAGTTTGTGAGATCCAGTCCAGATCAGGTCCCTGGGATTGAATGAAACGACAGCCTGTCTCATGGTTGAAAGTGACAAGAGGTTAAGAAGAACAGAGATAGAACCTGTGTCAGGAGGGGTCAAGGGCCCTCAGGAGATCTCAGGATAAATCCAGCTTCTGTCCTGACTGGGTGGTCTGGGAAGAGTTGCCTAATCTCTATGGACCTTCCTCTTCAATAAGTACTCTGGAGCTTGATCATCAGAGGCTCCAGAAAGTTCGAGATGCTGAATGGGCCTCAGGCCTTGGGGCAGTGGCTGGGTGCATCTGGCAGGGTGAGCGCCTCCTCCTCTCCAGCAGCTGGTCCCATAGCCCTATGCAGCTGCTTGGCAGGCAGGGGCTGTCTGGGTTTGCGCCATCCAGGGGTAGACCCTTTATGTGGGCTCTTTCAGGCTCCGGCCCGGATGGGGCAGAGGAAATCAAGCGGCATGTCTTCTACTCCACCATCGACTGGAATGTGAGTGTGTCAGGGTGAGGGGTGGGGGGCTCTGCCAATGAGGGCCTCAGGAATGGAGGAAAGGGTGAAGGCACGCTCCTGGGGTGAGGGCTGGCCTCCCCAGGGCAAGCCGTTATGCCACTGTCTGCTGGGCCAACGTGGGGGCACCGTGGTGACCAGAGCACCCACCCCACCTTGCAGAAGCTATACCGTCGTGAGATCAAGCCACCCTTCAAGCCAGCCGTGGCGCAACCTGACGACACCTTCTACTTTGACACTGAGTTCACATCCCGCACACCCAAGGGTGCGTCCCTTGTCTGGTTTGTCAGCCTGGGGCTGGTATAGGAGGGAAGCAGGGAATGGGGCGCCCTGGGGCACGGGGGTGGTTAGGATCTCTGGGAGGCCTGGCCATGTGGGTAGACAGGCCATGAGTGTCTGCCTCTGTGGGACTGTGACTCTGTCCCTGTCTCACGCCACCTGTCTCTCCCACTCTGGGGCTCTGTGGGCCTCTTTGTGTTTGGGTGAGAGAGCGAGTTGTGTGGGTGGCCAAGGCACAATAGAAAAAGCAGGACCCCTGCCCCAGGTGCCTTCCCGCCCACTGGGAGGACTCAACACATCAGGCCTGTGCACGTCAGAGATAAGGAATCTGACCCAGCAAAGCCGTGGTGGAGACAGTCTGGCAGAGCAGAGGTGACAGCGCCCACAGGCCAGGGCCAAGCGTGGGCATCAGCTTTGGCTGTCCTGATTGCTGGACCTCAGTGTACTCATCAGGAACATGGGCTCAGCCCCAGCCCTACTCATTCCCAAGAGTCGCTGCAGGAAGCCAGAGGGGAGACTTTGGGAGGGGGCCTGGTAAATTCTTGGCCAGATTTCAGCAGTGGACAGAGGGGAGGGTGTGAGTTCTGAGATGTTTGAGCAAAGGGGGTGCTTTTCTACTCTAGCCTGCACACTGCTGGTGACAGGGAGTTCAGCACGTCTTTGGGTGATCCACCTCATCTTTATTCACTTGTCTGACAAATCCATACCAGGTGCCTGCCATGTGCCAGCTGTGGGGAATGGTGGTGAACAAGACCCACCCCGCCTGCCTCATGGAGCTCAGGCCATTTTTAGAAGGGAGGTTCATAGGAGAAGGGGCCGGAGGAGCAGCGACAGTCAGGCTTTTTAGAGGGAGGCCGTGGGAGCTGAGCCTTAGAGGGCGGATGCCCCCTGACAAGGAGCATCTGGTCAGAGGGACTGGCACGCACAGAGGCACAGAGACCCTTTTAAGGGTCTGGAGACCCAGCATGGCAGTCAGCAGAAAAGGGAGACAGGAGGCCAAGACCACCAGGGTCTCAGCTGCCACACTGAGGAGTTGGGGGCAGCAGGGACATGTGAAGGGTGCAGGCAAGCTTGTGTTGGAGCCCTCCCTCTGGCTGCCGTCCAGAAGATGGACCCAAAGGGGCGGACTTGAGGCCAGGAGGCCAGGGAGGAAGCACTCAGGATCCTTGGCCTGGGCTTGGCGTGGGCTGGAAGCTGAATGAGAGAGTCTTAGGTCCCCCATGCGATGGGACTGGCTGCTCTACACACCTGTGAACAGATGGGCTGAGGCCTGGAGTGGGTGGGCCCCTAAGGCCCACCATGGCTAGCTACTGCGACCGGCAGGACCTCCATGGTCTCCCTGTGCTGGGCTGCTCCAGGGTCATGGGTACCCCCTTAGGCTCATATCCTCCTTCCACCCCTACAGATTCCCCAGGCATCCCCCCGAGTGCTGGTGCCCATCAGCTGTTCCGTGGCTTCAGCTTCGTGGCCACTGGCCTCATGGAGGACGATGGCAAACCTCGGGCCACACAGGCCCCCCTGCACTCGGTGGTACAGGTGAGGGAGGCTGGGGACTGCTGCTCAGTTGTTCTTTTCCACCCAGAAGACACAGGGCAGAACAGCTAAGGGCACAGCTGTGGAGCTGCACAACCCTGGGTCAAGTCCCAGTGCCCCTGGGTGAGCCAGAGGCCTGCAAGCGCCTTGATCTTCTTCCCCATTTATAAAGCAGGGCTGATAAAGCTGCCTCACACAGTGGCTCTCATCATTGGATGGAAACATGAATATATAAATTTCCTAGCACAGACCAGGGTCAGGGCAAATGCCAGGGGATGCCCAGGGTAGAGTTGGGAAGTGGTTGTTGAAGCCCTAGTTGATTGGGTAGCAGGGAACTTGCCTGTCCACATTTATCCCTTGTTTGTATGTTACGCTGCTTCATGGGAGTTTTAGACTTGAGAGACAAGAATGTAGACTCTGGCCAGGAGCCGTGGTGCACGCCTGTAATCCCAGTGGCTCAGGAGGCTGAGGCAGGAGGATCTCAAGTTCAAGCCAGCCTCAGCAATGGTGAGGTGCTAAGCAACTCAGTGAGACCCTGTCTCTAAATAAAATACAAAATAGGGTCGGGGATGTGGCTCAGTGGTCGAGTGCCCCTGAGTTCAATCCCAGTACCCTCTCCAAAAAAAGAATGTAGACTCTGGGTGGGGGCACGGTGGCATACACCTGTAATCCCAGCTACTGGGTAGGAAGAGGCAGGAGGATCACAAGTTTGAGGTCAGCCTGACAATTTAGCAAGACTCTCTCAAAATTAAAAGGGCAGAACTGGGGTTGTGGATCAGTGGTAGAGCGCTTGCCTAGCACATGTGAGGCAATGGGTTCAATCCTCAGCACTACATAAAAATAAATAAGGGGCTGATGTTGTGGCTCAGCAGTAAAATGTTCGCCTTGCATCTGTAAGGCTCTGGGTTCGATCGTCAGCACCACGTAAAAATAAATAAAGGTATTGTGTCCAACTACAACTAAAAAAATAAATAAATGTGGGGCTGGAGTTGTGGCACTTGCCTCACATGTGTGAAGCCTTGGATTCGATCTTCAGCATTGCATATAAATAAATAAATAAATAAAAATATCCATTTACAGCTAAAAAATATAATTATAAATAAATAAATAAATATTAAAAAAAATAAAAGGGCCAGGGATATAGCTCAGTTGTAGAGCACCCAGTTCAATCCCCAGTACCAAAAAAAAAAAAAAAGGAAATGCCAACTCCAGATCTCATTGCCTGGGTCCAGAGCCTCCAAGGTAAAGGGACTTTGGCTGGGACACTTGTCTTCCCAGACCTCAGTTTCCCATCTGTAAATGGAGGTAATGATAGAGTTGCTGTGAGGGTTACCTGAGCTAATATAAGTAAAGTTAAGATGACTGTAATTTATTATCCAAACTGGGACATCTTTGTCCAAGACAAATATTAAACCAGACTGGATATGAGAACAACAGGTGACACATGGCCACCTGATGTTTGTGCTTGGAATAGTGCCCGGCACACAGCACACGGGGGACACTGTGTGAGCATTTACTATTGTTAGTGTCTCAGAACCTGAGACACCCCACGCCGAGGGCTGTGACACCCTGAAACAGGAGGCTTCCTACCCAAAGCTGCAGAAAGTGGCAGAGCTGGAATCCAGCTCAGCACTTCTGCACCCCCTTGGGCTTGCCCAGGCTTCTCAGAACCATGCACCTCTCAGTATGTGTTCTGACTCTCTTGCCCACCCTTCCACCACCCTCTGACTGTAGACCACCGTGGGCAAGCAAGGAGGCAGTGAGTGTGTCCACTGTATAGAGTAGAAAACTGAGGCCCAAGGAGGGGCAGATCCTTCCAAGGTCACACAGCCAGCACTGCCCCAGGCTCCTGGCTCTTCCCCTACTCCATCTCCATGCAGGAAGGCCTTGGTACTGGGGTGACCCCTGGCACTGTGGAGCCAGGGATTAGCCTCGTCTCTTGGTCTCTTGCAGCAACTCCATGGGAAGAACCTGGTTTTCAGTGATGGCTATGTGGTAAAGGAGACGATTGGTGTGGGCTCCTACTCCGTGTGTAAGCGCTGCGTTCACAAGGCCACCAACATGGAGTATGCTGTCAAGGTGGGCCTCCTGACCACATCCTGGCCAAGGCTGCTGGGCTGGGGGTGAGGCCAATGTAGGTGTGGTCCTTTGGCGGGGAAGGTTAGTGCCTGAAGCTCTGGATGGTTGAAGGAGAGCCCCCAGGGCAGGGAGATATCTTGGAGTCTATCCCCCTGACATGCCATTTGTTCCCACTTTCTTCAGGTCATCGATAAGAGCAAGCGGGACCCCTCAGAAGAGATTGAGATTCTCCTGCGGTACGGGCAGCACCCCAACATCATTACCCTGAAAGACGTGAGTGGAGGTCCTCGAGGCTGGGCCGGGGCCTGGCATCCTTGACGCTAGGATTTGTCTGTGGGAGGTCATGCCTTGGTTTCTCACCCTCCTCCCAGTGCACATAGAGGGGCAGGGGCACTCTGGGTCCCAAGTGTCCTCTCTTTGAGACTCGGACATTCTCTTGAGAGCTTCCCTGCTCATCAGGGACCAGGGCCGGCACCACCTCGTCCAGGAGGACAGGGTCCGGATGGGTGAGGGTCCAGCCAGGGCAGAACACTGCAGGAGGCTCGTGTCGTGCTTCCCTGCTGGGCGCTGGTGACTGAGCCCCCAGGCCTGGCACTGGGGACAGGGGCCTGATGGCAAGGTCTTCCGCAGGTGTATGATGATGGCAAACACGTGTACCTGGTGACCGAGCTGATGCGGGGTGGGGAGCTGCTGGACAAGATACTGAGGCAGAAGTTCTTCTCAGAGCGGGAGGCCAGCTTCGTCCTGCACACCATCTGCAAGACTGTGGAGTATCTGCACTCACAGGGGGTGAGTGTGGACTTGGGGAGGGGCAGAGAGTGCCTAAGGTCATGCCATCCACCCAGTGGAAGAACCATGGTCTGGCCCAGGAGTGCCAGTCTCCACCCAGCCAGCCAGACAGAGGGGACGCGAGGGACAGGTGTGTAGGTGAGTGGATGGATGTTAGGGGAGACAGAAGCCGAACTGCAGAAAGGAACAGTTTGTTCAGTGCCAGTTGCTATGCCAAGGCTTAACGTAGGGTGAGGTTTCCCTATATTACCTCAATTCACACCCCTGAGTTAGTTGTAGTTATTGGCCTGACTTTACAGGTAAGGTGACAAGTGTGAGGTCATTTGCCCAAGACCCCACAGCCAGAGAAGAGTGGAGCCAGGATGTCAGGCTGAGGAGTGGGGGTGGAAGCCACGGGGAAGAGTGGGCTTTGAGTTGGGAAGCAGCAGGGTCCCTGTAGGGAGGTGCAAAGCCTTCCAAGGGGTGAATTTGGCTGCGGACCAGTTGCTAAGACAGGAAATGGATGCAGGAGGAAATGCTGCTGGAAGCAGTGGGCGGAAGAGGTGTAGGGCCAGAGAGCAGAACGTGGCCTTTATTGCTGCACAAAGCAAGTAAACACTACGTGGCTCTGGGCCAAGGCGCAGAGCGGAAGGTAGAGAAGTTCTGTATGACTGTGAGTTAACCGAGTTTCTCTTTGGATGGGGTGATGTTTTGGGGTACTTATAATCAGTCTGTGAGATTAGGAATGTAGGCTCTGAGTGAGATGGTGCACACCTGGAATCCAAGTGACTCGGGAGACTGAGGCAGGAGGATTGCAAGTTAGAGGCCAGTCTCAGTGACTTAGTCTCAAAAAAATGTCTATATAAAGGGCTAGGGATGTAGCCCAGAGGTAAAGTGCCCCTGGGTTCAATCCCTGGCACCAAGCAGGGAAAAAAAAGAATGTAACCTCTGAAATCCAATTGACTGTGCTGTGGTCATGGCTTCTCATCTTACTTGCGCATGTAGTTGGGAAAGCCATCTGGCCTCTCTGAGCCTTCGGTCTTCTGCAGACTTGTGGTAGCTGCCTTATCGTGGGGTGGTTGTGGGATGAAGCAAAGTACTTTTCTTGAGAGTGCGGCTTCCCACTCTCAGGGCTGGCTAGCAGTAAATGCCACATGTAAGCGGGGAGGCAGGACCCCAACACACACGCAGGACTAAGAAGAATAATGTAACCACCCGAGTGCTCAACACCCAAACTCAAGATTTGTCAAAACCAGCCCAGTGGAGCACACCTCCTAGCACTAGGGAGGCTGAGGCTGGGGGATTGCTGGAGTCCAGGGGTTCAAGACCAGCCTGGGCAACTAGCCCCAGTACTTAACATTTGCCACTTCTTTCTTTTCATCTCTCCCTCCCTCCCTTTCTCTTTTTCAGTGCAGGGCCTTGTTCATTTTAGGCAAATTTCTACCACTGAGCCACCTCCCCAGCCCTCCTTTGTTTCTTTTTTGTTGCTGCTGAAGTATTTTCCTCAACTTTTTTGAGAAGAAAGATCAAATTTATAGAAAAGGTTAAAGAATAATATAATGAAATTCATTTTCCTCTAGATTTAGTGTATCTTTTTAAAAATTTTTTTATAGTTGTAAATGGACAAAATGCCTTTATTTGTTTAGGTTTTTGTTTTTTCTTTTTATATGGTGCTGAGGGTCGAACCCAGTGCCTCTACCACTGAGCAAGCGCTCTACCACTGAGCCACAACCTTTAATTTATTTTTATTTATTTTTTTGTACCTGGGGTTAAATCCAAGGGCGCTTAACCACTGAGCCACGTCCTCAGCCCACCTTTTTCTTTAATTTTTTTTTTTTTAAGTTGTAGGTGGACACAATGCCTTTATTTAATTTATTTATTTTTATGTGGTGCTAAGGATCAAACCCAGGGCCTCACATCTGCTAAGCAAGCGCTCTACCACTGAGCTACAGCCCCGGCTCTCCCTTAGTGAGACAGGGTCTCACTAAGTTGCTAAAGCTGGCTTTGAACTTGCAATCCTCCTAACTCAGCTTCCCTTAATATATGTATTTTGGAAAATGCATTTGAAAGGAAGTTACAGGCATTTTGACATTGACCTGCAAAGGCTTATAAAAGTCTTGCTTTTGCTTGATACTGGAACATTGAACCCAGGGATACTGTATCACTGAGTTAAACCTCCAGCCCTATAAGTAAAGTCTTTTAAAGCATGTTTTAGACTTCACATCATCTTAGTCATATATCTGTAATTTTTTATACCTTTATTTAATTTATTTATTTTTATGTGGTTCTGAGGATCAAACTCAGTTAGGCAAGTGCTCTACCACTGAGCCACAACCCCAGCCCATATATCTATAATTTTAAAAACAGTGGACATTATTTTTCAACCAACTAACAAAATTAGCAGTGAGTTGTTTTCACATAAATTCACAAAAACATTTTCCCTCCTGTCCTTTCAAAAATGTCTTTTCATGATTGGGTATTATAATTGAAATCCTGATCTCTTTTCATGATTGGATATTATTGAAATCATAATCCCTGCAAAGTCCACACATTTATTTCATTTAGTTGTTCTATCCAAGTCTTCTTCTTTTTTTAATATTTATTTTTTAATTTTAGGTGGACATAGTATCTTATTTTACATTTATGTGGTGCTGAAGATCGAACCCAGTGCTTCATGCATGCTAGGCGAGCATTCCACCACTGAGCCACAACCCCATCCCAAAATTAAAGCACAGGGATTTTTTTTTTTTTTTTGTGATGCTGGGGATTGAACCCAGGGCCTTGTGCGTGCAAGTCTTCTTTTTAAACTGAAGTAAAATCTGCATGAGGTAGATGTTCTGTGAACAATTTGATGAGTTTTGTTAAATGTGTATACCCACGTCACCTGCATAGTAAAAACTCCCTTTTGTAAGCCACTTACTTGCTGAAGAGATCAGTTGTTCTGTAGAATGTCCCACATTCTGAATAAGTCTTTTACTTCCTGGTGGCATCATTTATGTTATTTCTCTATTGCTCATATTTCCTGTAAACTGCAAGTTCCTCTAAAGCCTTTTTTTTTTTTTAATTGCTGGAGATTGAACCCAGGACTGTGTCACACATGCTGGTCCAGTGCTCTACCACTGAGCCACACCCCCAGCCCTTTTGAATTTTATTTTGAGACAGAGTCTTGCTAAGTTCCCCAGGTTGGCCTCAAACTTGGGATCTTCATGCCTCGGTCTCCTGAGTTTCTGGAATTACAGCCGTGCGCCACCATACCCAGCTTGCTCCAGAGTCTTATTTAGATGTAGCTTCAAATTTTGGTGGGATGGGAGAAGTTCAGAAAGCCGGGATCTGGGATCCCAGAGAATCATGTAGAATACTTAACTATTATGAATCATTGACCTTCAAGGAATTCCAACTGTGTTTATCTTGGCCAGATCATGTCTGTAGAAGACTAAGGAAAAGTCTAGAAAAGGGACCTATTGTGACCATGTTCGATCATTGGCACCTATTTCCATACATTGATTACTGGCAGGGGTGGGGGGGTGGGAATCGTGATATCATTGCAGGTGCACAGGGAAGGCTGTTCCTCCATTCAGACCTGGAGTCCAGATGCCATAGGACCTGAGTTGTGTTCAAGTGTTTATTCAAAACAAAAGAGTCATATGTCCCATTGGCACTTGTACACTAACTTCTCTTGTGCACAACTAAATATCTGCAGTTACCTAATAATACATTGGCCATTCTGCTACAAAACAATAATAACAGGATAGGGCAAAACAAAACAAAACAAAATCAGCAGGAGGCCACTCCATGAGGTGCAAGTGCTTTGAGCACATGACCTTGTGTTGCCCCCCATTATTCACGCCAGGTGATAACAGGCCTATCTCCTCGTTGTAGAGAGCCTCACGTAATGGCTTCCTCCTTTCAGGGTTTTTGAATCAATTATTTCACTAGGGTGTACAAAAATGGTGCTGTCTGACTAAGTGTGATTGATTAGCAGGAACTCTTTTATAAAAAGGAACTTTACCTCATACTCAAAGCTTCAGTTTGGTTACCACATGTGCTTTTAATGGTCCTGTTTGAAGTGGCTTTGGTTTCTGAAATGGCCAATGCAAACAGACTAATGATCAAACATGTGAGATCAAAGAGTGAGTGTGTTTCCTTTTCCTGTTTTGTTGTCAAGTGAGTACTAGTTAAAGTTACCTCCAAGAGGGTTTAGGAGACAAAGCCACGGCAGTGAGTTACCAGTGGGTTGCCCGAAGCTCAGAGCAAGGAAGAGTTTTCTAGAGCAGGAGATGCCTCCAAAGGGAGTCCCTTCCACAAGGCAGGTTCCAAGTATGAGGAACCACTTGAAGGAAATTGTATTTTTCCCAAAGCTAGGAGTTGACTTTAGGAAACTGCAATGTGTCTGGCCCTCTCCAAATATCAGAGACAACTGATGAGGAAATGGGCAGCTGTTCTTTATTTTATTTGTTTATTTTTATGTGGTGCTGAGCATCGAAACCAGTGTCTCACCCATGCTAGGCAAGTGCTCTGCCACTGAGCTACAGCCCCAGCCCCTGGGCAGCTGTTCTTATTGAAATATTTGGAGGGCATTCTCTGGGTTGATTTGGCATCTGGAGTAGCTGTGGTCTATAAGATGGGAATCCAACAGAAACTGAGGGATGGGAAAAGGTGACTGGGGCTCCAGATCCTCTGGGATCCCTATGTGTGTGTGGGGGGGGTCACTGGAGATTGAACTCAGGGGTGCTTGACCAGTAAGCCACATCCCCAGTCCTTCTTTTTGTTTTTGAGACAGGGTTTTGCTAAGTTGCCCAGGCTGACCTTGAACTTGCAATTCTCCTGCCTCAGCCTCCGGAGTTGCTGGGATTGCAGGTGTGTGCTACTGTGCCCAGCAATGTTTTCCATCTTTTAAGTCGTCATTCTGATAAGTGTGGATGGTATCTCATTATGGCTCTAATTGACATTTCCCTGATGGCTGGTGAAGTTGACGCTTCTTCACATGCATATTGCCATTTAAATGCCCTCTTTCCTGAAATGGCTGATCCCATCTTCTGTCCATGTTTTAAAATTGGGTTGTCTGCTCCTTTCGTGTTATTTTATAGCCATTCTTTGTTTAATGTGTAAAGCCTATTAAAGTTCAGACTACTAGGCACGGTGGCACACGCCTGTAATCCTAGGAGCTCATGAGGCTGAGGCAGGAGGATGGCAAGTTCAAAGCCAGCTTCAGCAATTCAGAGAGCCCCTAAAGCAACTTAGAGAGACTCTGCCTCACAATAAAAAATAAAAATTGCTGGGGTTGTGGCTCAGTGGTTAAGCACCCCAAGGCTCAATCCCCAGTACGAGAGAGAGAGAGAGAGAGAGAGAGAGAGAGAGAGAGAGAGAGAGAGAAAACTCCCCAGACTCCATCTTGTCTGTTTCCATAAGGTCCCCATTATGCCAGGAACAGCCTTTGAGATGCAGATTCAATAGAGCCAACACCAGGCTTTGGCTCTGTCTTTTTTTTTTTTTTTTTTTAGTTATAGATGGACATAATATCTTTATTTTGTTTACTTATTTTTAGGTGGTGCTGAGGATTGAACCCAGTGCCTTACAATGCAAGGCAGGTACTCTGCCACTGAGCCACAACCTCAGCCCCCTGGCTCTGTCTTTAACCAGATGATTCACACAGAACAATTTGTCACGGGTGCCTGAATGCACATCTGCTGGGGATGCTGATGGTGATAAAGGTGCTGGGGCTGTCGGGCACAGTGGCACACACCTGTGATCTTTGTGACTCAGGAGGCTGGGGCAGGAGGATTCCAAGTTTGAGGCTAGCCTTGGCAACTTAGTAAGACCCTATCCCAAAATTAAACTTTAAAAGGGCTGGGAAGGTAGCTCAGCAGTGGAGTGTCCCTGGGGCTGCTCTTGGCAGTTCACACCACTTGCCACGTTCTGTAGGCCAGGCAGGGTTCTGAGCACTTTGCATATTAAACTCACTTAATTGTTACAAAAAAGGAACTGATGAAGAATGTGTCATCGTGATCTTTATTTTACAAGTGAGAGGATTGAGGTTTAAGTAACTTGCCTGAAGCCTTACAGCTAATCTGAAGTCTGGGCTCTGAACTCATGCACAAGATTGGATGCTCTGGACAGCATGTCTTCTGATTTTGTTTTGTTTTGTTTTCCGTGCTAAGGATCAAACCCAGGGCCTCATGCATGCTAGACAGATGCTCTACTACTGAGCCACATCTCTAGCCCTTACCCAGGGATTTGATTACTATTATCATCCCCATTTTACAGTTGAGAAAAGTGAGGGCTAGAGAGGTGGACCACACAGCTATGGAGGGCAAATCCAAGACTCACACTCCAGCCTGCCCAACTCCTTCCTGTGACTGCCAGAGGTCATGGCCCGTTGACCTCTGGTTGCATTTAACCTATAAAAATATTTTGTTTGGCCAGCACGATATGGGATGACTTTTGTTTGGGGTTGGTTTGGTAAGGTGTAGTGATTTGGCTGCTTTTAAAAAACCAGGCTCTACGGTGACTATCGACTGGCACCAAGAGCAGTTGTCCCTTTAGACTGCTATGGTTCCTACTCAGCCTGGCCTCCCTCACAGTCACCCAGCCTGCTGTGACTTCCTGTACCGTGAGATGGGAGACCGCATCATCTCCCTACTCCCCACCTGAGGGTCGGGTCGCAGAACCACCTGCAGGGCTTTTTCAAGCTGTCTCCCTGCCTCCCTGTTCTTCTCTTACCGCCATGATGAGACCTGGTGGAGTTTGTCATTTCTCTGTGTTGTTGGGGCAGGATAAGATCACAAACATCCATGTTCCTGTTTCCCAAAAGTGTTATCTGTGCTGCGCTCAATAGACCGTGGAATTACAGTCAGACCTGGGTCTTGCCTCTGCCTCTTACTATACAAGCAAGGCCATTCTCATCCCAGAGCCTCAGTTCCCTCCTCTGTAAAATGGAGTGGTGGATAGCCCCAGTGACATCATGATGAGGAACCCTCTTAAACCAGGAATATCACCTGTACAGGTGTCCCCAGCATCCCTGGCCTCTCAAGCATGGCTGGGCACTCTGGGGAAGACAGCCTGCATTCTCTGGGGGCCTGCACTGTGGTGTCAAGTGACCATGTTGGAAGGAGAAAGTCCAAGGGCCTCCTCCAGTGCTTGGATGCAACTCACAGTGTATCACCGGGGCCAGCCATCTGTCTGGCCCTTTTCCTCTGGAGGCGGGCTGTGCTGGGCCACATCTGTTCTCCAGTCTGCACTTCCCATGGGCACCTGCCAGAGTGCTTGGGGTTCAATTGGAACAATGAAGCCAACCAGTCTGCAGGACTCAACTAATGTCACCTGCAAGGTGACTGCATGTTTCAGAGGTGTGATTCCTTCATTCATTGCACAGAGCTCACTTAGCACTTGCTCTGTGCTGGTCCCTGGCTGGGTACTGCAAGGTGACTAGACATTCCACAGGCAGGCATGGTTAGGACTCCTGTGAACGGAGCCCGCGTGGCCTGAGCTCAGAGTGCCTGAGAGAATGCGATGTGTGATGAGGCCAAGGCAGGCTGAGCCTCCCAGGGCAGTATCTTGCTGGTACTAGGGAGCCATTGAATGGTTTTGTTTTTTGGTATTGGGAATTGAACCCAGAGGCACTTAACCATGGAGCCAGATCCCCAGCTCTTTTATTTATTTATTTTTAAATTTTGAGATAGGGTCTTGCTAACTTGCTTGGGGCCTCTCTAAATTGCTGAGGCTGGCTTTGAACTTGCCTTCCTCCTGCCTCAGCCTCCTGAGTCACTGGGATTACAGGCGTTCGCCACCACACCAGGCCCATTGAAGGTTTCTGACATTCCCCAGGGAGTCCATTAGCTCATGGGAAGAGGAACAGGAGGGTGAGAACATGATGTCTAGCATTTGGAATAGGTTGAGTTTGAGACTGTGGAACATCCAGCAGTTGCCTTCTGGTAGGAAACTGGATCTATGAGCCTGGACTCAGGAAAGTTCTGGGCCAGGGCTAGAGATCTGAGAATTATAATTAAGTGGTAGAGGTTTGGCTATGAATACAACCATGCAGAGGAGGAGGAGCATGCAGAATGGGGTGTTCGGGCCCCCTTGGGTTACAGAGGAGCACACGGGATCCAGGGGAAAGTCATTTGCTTATGGCCTCAGGGTAAGTGCTATCCAGTCATTCCTTCAACAGAGACGCATGGAGTACCTGCCCTGTACCAGGAGCTAGTGTGAGTGCTGGGATCAGTAGTGAGCTAAATGCTCATGGAGCTTACATTCCAGTGAGCAGACTCAGAAAATAAATGAAATATTATGTCCCATGGTGTTAAATGCTACTGTGTGACAAAAGCAGAGCAGAGTAAGAAGACTCAGGAATATTGGGTGGCCGGGGGCTGTTCTGTGGGGATGTTCAGGGGAAACCTTACTGATAAGAACAGAGACCTGAAGGGAAAAAGAGAATTAGCCAGGTAGATGGATGAGGGAAGAGTGTTCTAGAAAGAGGCAACTGCAGGTACAAAGGTCCTGAGGCAGGTGTGTGCTTGGCCTGTTGAAGAAGAGCAGAGAGACTGATGTGGCTGAAGCAGATACAGCAAGGGGGAGCCCGCAAAGAGTGCAAGAGACATGGGGGAGGGGAGGGGAGAGATCAGGGGGGCCATGTGGGCCATTATAAGGAGTTTTTCTTTTTTTTTTTTTAATTGCGACATACCTGTGTGTGTGTTACTGAGGGTTGACCCTAGGGGTGCTCTACCACTGAGCTGCAACCCCAGCCCTTTTTATTTTATGAGACAGGGTCTCATTAAGTTGCCCAGGCTGACCTTGAACTTGCAATCCTTTTGCCTGAGCCTCCCAAGTCTCTGGGATTACAGGCCTGCACTACTGGGCCTAGCTAGTCATTTTTCCTTTCAAAACAACTCCCCAGGTTGGCCTTGAACTCCTGGGCTCAAGGGATCCTCCAAGCAGTCAGGACTATAGCATGCCACCACACCTAGCGAGGACTTAAAAGGGAAAGGCGTGGAGGGTTTTGAGCTGGGATGACAGGATCTGACGTACGTTTAACAGCATCGCTGCGGCGTCTATGGTGAGACGCATTGTAGGGGGAAAGGCAGAAGCAGGGAGACCAGTTAGGAGGTGGCTGCCCTAATCCAAGGGGTAGGGGATGATGGTGGGGAACCAGAGCCCCGCCAGTCGAGGAGCTGAGAAATGACTGGGCTCTGGAAATATTCTAATGGCAGAGTCAACAGAGTTGACCTGTGGGTTTATTAAGGAATGTAAGAGGAAAAAGAAAAAGGACCCACACAACAGGAAGGATGTGACTATGTGAGGAGCAGATTTGAGAGGAGAACTACGGAGTTCAGTGTTGGGCAGGTTGAATTCCTGCCACCTTAGATGGTGCTCCATTGAGATTTCAAGCAGGCAGTAGTAGCACCAGGAGAAGGGCTCCTGTGTGGTAGCCCTTTTCCTTCTTCCTGGATTCTAGATTTTTCCCTAGCAGCCTCCCCATATGGAGGCTGACCCCAGCCCTCTGCCCCTAGGTTGTGCACAGAGACCTCAAGCCCAGCAACATCCTGTACGTGGACGAGTCTGGGAACCCCGAGTGCCTGCGCATCTGTGACTTTGGCTTCGCCAAGCAGCTGCGGGCTGAGAATGGGCTCCTCATGACGCCTTGCTACACAGCCAACTTCGTGGCGCCCGAGGTGAGTGGGGACAGCAGGAGGCTTTGTGCCGCACTTAGAGGCCCACGCTGTCCAGGCCTACAGTGTCTATAGCCTTGACTCAGGGACCGAGGGCAGATCTAGCCACAGCGGGGACTCTTGTCCTATCTTTTGGGGAGTGTGTGGCCACTTCCTACTGCCCCTCGGACTGACCACCCTCCCCTGCCTTCCTGCCAGGTGCTGAAGCGCCAGGGCTACGATGAAGGCTGTGACATCTGGAGCCTGGGCATTCTGCTGTACACCATGCTGGCGGGGTGAGTGCCCCGGCCGGGCCCTCCCCACTCCTGTCCTGGGATCAGCCTGGGCTGGTGCTTGTCTCAGGGGAGATCAGCTCTGCCTGGGGACAGGCCCTGCCTACGGGAGCTGCACCTTGAAGCATGCAGTCTGAGCAGGAGGGGCAGCCTCCCGTCTCCAGGGCAGAGGCTGTACCCAGCTGTGTGGGCTTTTCTCCAGATACACTCCATTTGCCAACGGACCCAGTGACACCCCAGAGGAGATCCTGACCCGGATCGGCAGTGGGAAGTTTACCCTCAGTGGGGGAAACTGGAACACGGTTTCGGAGACAGCCAAGGTGAGTCTTTAAGCTCTTGGAGGAGGGGCAGGGTCCATCCCAGGGCTTTTCGTAGGCAGACTGGCCCTTTTTTTGGGTAACTTGGTGACTGATCATTCATGGTCCTTTCCCGTGTGGGGGACAGAGGACTGCACAATCCCAGCCCCTCTCTTCTGGAAGCTCAGTGGAGGGGAGCTGTAGGGCTGCAGGCCTCCCCGGGGGTCCAGACACAGAGCAGAAGCACAGCAACTGCCCATGGAGAGGACCTTCCCAAAGAGGGAAGAGTTTTCAGTGTTGGTGACAGTTCCTATCACTGGGAGCCTCTGTGCGAACAGAGTTGAGCCCTTCATAAGCAGCACCACTTCCACCAGCCTGTGTGGCAGTGTTGTTGCCCCCATTTCTCAGAGGGGACATTGAGGCTCGGGGAGTTGAAGTGACTTGCCCAGGGCCCTCAGCTGATGAGAGGAAGAGCCAGGTTCTCACCGGAGTCTGCCCGGCCTCAGCCCTTAGGCTCTTGCCCCTTTCCACCATGGAAGGCAAGCGGGCTCCTGGAAGTGCACGGAGAGCAGAGGCCCCCAGAGGGGAACGCCCTGGCTGCGCCTGGGGAAGCTGTGGCTTGTGGAGAAAGGATCGCAGGGCAGGGGCAAGGGTTCAGGTGGGAGATGGTCAGTGCAATTGTCTTCCCCTTCCCCATCTGCGGGACACAGATGATTTCTCCCCTGCTGCCCCTCACACCTCCCCCTTGCCCCTGTGCCGCTAGGACCTGGTGTCCAAGATGCTGCATGTGGACCCCCACCAGCGTCTCACAGCCAAGCAGGTCCTGCAGCACCCATGGATCACCCAGAAAGATAAGCTTCCCCAGAGCCAGCTGTCCCACCAGGATCTGCAGCTTGTGAAGGTATGCCAACCCAGCCGCTGGCAGCCGCAGGGTGGCAGGTTACCCAGGCCAGGGTGTCATGTGCAAGGACTTGGGGTAGTGGAACCAGGAGATCCCATGTCTGTGCCCAGGACCAGGAGGTGGGACAGAGGAAATGAGACAGTCCTGTTTTCAGGGGCTCTAGTCTTCTGGCGGACACAACTACCAACCTCTGAAGCCTCCATTCTGATGGAGGAGGCAGGAGCAATGACCATGAAGGACCACCAAGGCTGGAAATAGTGGGCTGGGTGGGCTGTGGGGCTCTGGGAGGGGCTGGCCTGACCTGGGGCAGTGTCCCTCCCCTGCTCACCTCCTCACTGGCCATCTGACTTACCTCCTCTCCCAGGGAGCCATGGCAGCCACGTACTCTGCGCTCAACAGCTCCAAGCCCACCCCCCAGCTAAAGCCGATCGAGTCATCTATCCTGGCCCAGCGGCGGGTGAGGAAGCTGCCATCCACCACTCTGTGAGGGGCCTGGCGCCCAGGCCGCAGGGCGGTGCTAGCTTGATGGAGGCAGCATCCTTCCCAGAGGGAGCAGCCTGAGTCACGGGGCCAGAGCAAGTTGGAGCCTCGAGGGGTCCGGGAAGCAGCCAGCCCAGATCACCCCTGGTGAGGGTGTGAGAAGTGCCTTCTCCTTCCCCAGGACAGACTCTTCCGGCTTAGGCTCTGCTGGTGGAAATCAGTTCACTGTACAAACTCTGACCTTTTTTAAGGAAAATAATGGCGTCAACCCCCGTGGAGTTTTACAAGATCCATTTGCCTTTCTGGGAGCAGAAATAGCCAGTCAACCCCAGAAGGGGCACTGCGTCATGCTGGGGCTCTCTGAGGCTGAGACTCCTGGAGCAGCTTCGGGGTCCTACCCTGGGGGCCCCACAATCGGTTATCTGGAGCCATTGGCAGATCCCCCACGGCAGCCTGGCATCGCCTTGCAGAGCCACCGACTGTTAAGCAGAACTCCCTCTCTCCCCAGCCAGCTCCTCCTCCAGCCTCTTCTGCCAGGGGTATAGAACCACTTTCGGCTAGAGCTGCTGGCTCCAGGCTCCAGGCACCAGCATCCGCATCAGCCCACCCATGGGCCCCTGCGTTCAGGTTGGGCCGCCCCAGGGAGAGGACGTGGAGAGCACTTTTCGGCAGATTTCTGTTGAGTCTGCTACTGGACAGAGGTCACGGAGGCCAGGGGTGCAGGCCACAGGGGAAGGGGCTTTTTTCATTTCTTCCTCAGCTGATAACTCAGGGTTCATCTGTCCATGGCCTTTCTAATAAACTTACAATCAAATCGAAGCACGCTCTTCTCCACTTCTCATCTCTGAATTTGCCCTCTCTCTGCTATGGGTTGTCAAGGGCTTTGGCAGGGACAAGAAATGGGCCAGGGCCTGGTACGATGGTCCACACCTATAATCCCAGCATCTCCGAGGCTGAGGCAGGATGATCATAAGTGTAAAAATATTTACCACCAGTGACGGGTGTCAGATTCTGTGCTTGGGCCTTACATGCACATTCCATTTACTCTTTTTTTTTTAATACCTTTATTTTTTTAATTTTATTTTTATGTGGTGCTGAAGATGTGTGCTAGGCAAGTGCTCTACCATGGAGCTACAACCCCAGCCCCCATATCCCATTTAATCTTACCAAACCTATGAAGTAGATGTTACTATGCTATTATCTGTATTTTATAGATGGGCAAATGAGCTCAGAGAGGGGAATGATATTTCCTCATGCAATAAATATTTTCTGAGCACCTGTTATGGCCCTGCTGCAGATGCTGGTGAGCCAGGAGAGAATAAGTCTTAGATCTAAGTAGGGGACGGGGACAGTTTGCAAACCTAGGTCAGCCACTCAGAAGACATGTGGAGAGTTAAATTGGATGAGACTGGGTCAGGGAAGGCCACTCTGGGAAAGTGACCCAGAAACTGAGATCTGAATGAAGAGCAGGAGGCAGAGTTAGGACAGAGGCCCCAAGAGGGAAACAGGCAGGGTATGCTCAGTGTCTCAAGAGGAGCTGATGTAGCTGTGACCTCAGAGCCAGGAGTTTGCACAAGATGAGGTTGGGACGTGGAGGCAGGGAGAAATGCAAGCTATTAAAAGAATTTAGGGACTGGGAGTGTAGTTCAGTGGTAGAGCCCTTGCTTAGTAGGTATGAGGCCCTGGCTTCCGTCCCTAGCACTGGGCATGGGATACACACACACACACACACATTTTTAGCTCATGGTTCTAGAGGCTTAGAAAGTCCAAGAGCCTGGCCCTAGCACCTGGTGAGGGCTGCTTGCTGTATCACATGGCAGAGGGCATCACGCAGCAAGACTGGGCAAGAGCATTAGGTTGGGCCTTTCTTCCACTTCTTATAAAGCCACTAATGTCATCTTGGTTTCCTGCCCTCATGACCTCATCTCATCCTAGTTACCTTTCAAAGTGCCCACCTCCAAATATCATTAGCATATGAAAGGGGGGCACTCAAACTACAGCACCAGATGTCCCCAAGTTCAGAGTCACTATTCCCTTTAATGCCCAAATAACAATCTCTCAGCTCCTGCCCACAAAATACCCACCTACTAAGCCGGTGCTCACCTTGTGGAGCGCCAAGTGCTGTATTTCATGACACCCTCATGTGAACAAGATACGGTCAATCCTATTTCACACGCAGGAAGAAATTTGAGGCTTGGAGATTAACTTGCCCAGGGACAGAGCAACATGGCAGAAGAGAACTCACATTGGAGGTCTGAGATCTGAGAGTCACCGTTCAGGGGTGCAGCCCCACCTCTCTGCTTGTGAGACTGCCCAAGACCTACTTGTGTGTTCCACAGAGCTGTCTGTTTACCACCCTACCCTCAGCCAACCATGTGGTCATAAATTTCCTATACAATTGGGGGTCTGGTCTCAATTACAGAATCCCAATGGCTCCAGAGGCTGAGGCAGGTGGATCTCAAGTTTGAAGCCAGCCTCAGAAACTTAGCAAGGCACTAAGCCACTTAGCAAGATCCTGTCTCAAAACATAAAAAAGGCTGGGATGTGGTTCTGCGATAAAGTGCCCCTGGGTTCAATCCCCAGAACAAAAATAATAAGAAGAAAGTCCCAGCCAGGTGCAGTGGTACAAGCCTGTAATCCTAGCAACTTGGGAGGCTGAGGCAGGAGGATCCTGAGTTCAAAGTCAGCCTCAGCAACTTAGTGAGGCTCTGTCTCTAAATAAAATATTTTTAAAAGGGCTGGGAATGTAGCTCAGTGGTTAAGCACCCCTGGGTTCAATCCTCATTACAAAAAAAAAGTTCTAATTCCAGTTGGGTGTGGTGGCACACACCTATAACCAGAGACTCTGGATCCTGAGGCAGGAGGATCTCAAGTTTGAGGCCAACCTGAGCAACTTAAGGAGACCCTGTCTCAAAATATTTGGATATAGTTCAGTGGTACACGCCTGTCATCCCGACTACTTGGAGAATCTGAAGCTGCTAACAATGGAAAACAAGCTGGGAGATTTGGGGAGTTTCCTACAGTCTCAAAAAGTAGAGTTCCCCATCAGCTGGACTGCACATCAGGGAACTAATGGCATGTCAAGGGCTTGGAGGGGATTCCTCTTCCCACAGGGGGGCGTTTGAGGGGCTGACATAATTCCCTGTGGGCCAGCGACTCGGATTCCCAATCGTCCACACAGACAGCAGCATCCCTGGGTGTTTCTTGCATTTTACTCTCTTGTCTTCATGTTTTGCAGGATGATTTTGGAGACAGGTACCCTCAGAAAAAAGGCTGGTTTCCTATGTAGGTTATATAAGCAAACATTTAGCAATAGGGTTGACACATGGATTTAATTCTCTCACTCAGCCTGTAATTTAAGACCAGCGAATAACGTACCAGACTGTGACTTGTTTAATGGCTGTCATAGGCACAATGGGTTAAATTCCTGTTTACGCTGGGCAGAGCACAGATGTCATCCCTAATATTCAAAGCAATCTCATGAGGTAGGTATTATCATTTCCATTTTACAACAAGGAAACTGAAGCTGAGGGACGAACGAGCCACAGTCCCCAAGGAAGTGGCTGAGCCCAGGTCTATCTGGCTCCGAACTCATACATGTCCCACTATCCAACCCTGCTGCACAGGATAAATTTCATCTCACAGTGACTCATAAAAATCTCACATTCAGAAGGGCCTTAAAGGCCCAGACCCAACCTCCGCCCACTACAGAAATCCTCCATAAATGGTTATCCAGTTTCTGTTTGAATCCTGCCAGCAACGGAGACTCCACCACATCACAAGGCAGCCCCCGCATGGTTGGAAAGTTCCTCACTTTGAATGAGGTCTGAGCAGCTTCCGTCTGTTGGGGGGTGTGGGGGTTCCCAGTAACTCCTGGGCACTCAAGGGAGAAATGACTCATTAGCAAGAGGGAAATCTCTGTGTGTCCCACCCCCAGAGACGGTAGCCTCTAGTGGCAGGCAAAAGAGGTGGCAATGAGCCTGTCCAAGCAGAGAAACCCCAAGAGGTGAGTGTAAGAACCTGTGGTCCATCACCCCGGGACATCTGCAGAGGCGCCCCTCACCCCATGTTCTCCTGCCTCTGCCCCCACCCAGCTCATCTGCGAAGGCAGCAGCAGGTGGCCACGGAGGGTAGTGGGCTCGGAGTCAGTGGGACCTGCCATCCCTCGCTGCTCTGACATTTCCTAAGTGTCCCACAGAGCTACTGCAGGCCCTGATGGAGAGCCTGGGTGACAAGCCAACAGCAGCAGGAAGTGGGAAGACCCCAGAGCGGTGGCTGAGAGCAGATGTGGGGTCAGTTGTACCTTTTTTTTTTTTTTTTAATATTTATTTTTTAGTTCTTGGCGGACACAACATCTTTGTTTGTATGTGGTGCTGAGGATCGAACCCGGGCCGCACGCATGCCAGGCGAACGCGCTACCGCTTGAGCCACATCCCCAGCCCCACCTTTTTTTCTTGAAGTCTGAGTATCCTGGCCTACAGTGCAGCTTTGGGCACTTGCCTGCAGACCTGGGCAAGCCATTTAACCCCTCTGCCTCAATTTCCCCACCTTTAAAGTGGGACTTAGGAGTAGTGCCTACTTCTTGGTGCAGGTGAAACGACGTGAGCATGAGAAGCTCATCGCTTGGGACCTAGTACATACTTCACCCCTGGCTGCACCCACCTCCCTCAGCACAGACTCCATCCTCCCAGCTGTCACAGCCTGGAGAGACCCAGCTTAACCGGCATCCTCCTCCAAGGAGAAGAGGGAGCTTCTCATAAAGCCTGTCTCTTTCCCCCTCCTGCCCCCCGAACCTCTCTCTGAGTTATAGCTCATACTTGTGATTCAGTCTGAGACTTCTTTTTTTAGGTAATTTCTTCTGTTTCTCGTCCCTCCAGGGCTGTGGGCTGATTGAGAAATGGAGGGTGGATGACACATGCCTGACCTGGGCACCAGGACTGAAGCTGGGGCGGGCCTGAGTCACCCATTCATTTGTAGAATCTCAGGAGGGCTGGCCTGGGGCCACGTCACTCCTCTTGCCATCACGGAGCTTTACAGTTCTAGGCCCTTGGCATGGGCTTCACGGAGCATCTGACGGGGTGAGAGTCTCAGCTCAGGAGGGAGTAGGGGGTTGGGTGAGGAGGCACAACAAGGTCAGACGCCAATGTCAGCCGTCACGGCTATGTGTTCCGGGCAAGTCATCTGACCTCTCGAAGCCTCATTATGCCTCATCTGCAAACCATCTTCAGAAGGCTGCGGAGGGGCTTAAAAAAGAATTAATCAGCCAGACATGGTGACGCACAACTGTTATCCCAGTTACTTGGGAAACTGAGGCAAAAGGATCACAAGTTCAAAACCAGGCCAAGGCAACTTAGGAAGACCCCTGTCTGCAAGGGACTGGGGATGTTGTACAATGGTAGAGTACCCTTTGTTCCGTCAATAGTGCCAAAGAACAAGCCAACTAACTAGAAATTATTATTTCCATTCATATATGGGAAAATGGAATAGCAGACAATATAAATCAAATGAAGGTCAAAGAATTTAAAGCCTTAAATCAATAGTTTATTGGGTGCCAAGCACCATAATAAATGTTTTGCCAGTATCAGGGGTGTGAAAGTTTTGATTGTACTCATTTTCCTTAAGAGGTTAAATTATCTACTCAAGTTCGCTCTGTTAGAAAATGGAAGAGCTGATACCAGCATTGCACCTGGCATGAAAATTCATGCTTACATCTTATTTTTATTTTTAAAAATATGTTTTTGGGGGGCTGGGGATGTGGCTCAAGCAGTAGTGTTCTTGCCTGGCATGTGTGTGGCCCGGGTTCGATCCTCAGCACCACA